GAAGTAATGGCAGCACTTCAGTTTATCAACAAGCCTGAGATCGTGGGGGCAGGGTGCTAACAATGAAAAGCTGGGGGCCACTTGAGGGCAATAGGTAGATTATGTGAAAGACTACACAGCCTATATCAAATTTTTCTAGAGCAACTGTATGGAGGCTTTTAGATTTCTTAAATTGTATGAGATCCTATTTATAATAGCATCGTCACTTAAACTTTGTCCTTGAGTCTTGCCTTTCATCCCTCACTTGTAATTCATCTCCACAAAGTGTAATTCATCACTTCATAGATGTAGTGGTCACATCTATGAAGAGGAAGCTATTAAGGAAGTAGGGTTGGCTGGCCCTAAGTCAAATTTGTGAGAGATGCAGCTCTACCCCTCTTGTCTCTGTCTGAATTTTAGCAGGGCCTTATTGCCTTAACATAACAAGCATTCCCCAACAGGAAGGTTTTCTGGTGTTTTGTTTTGCTTTGCTTTGTTTATTGTCTGAAAGGTTTTGAGACCTCACCTCTGATGTTGCTATCACTGCACATCCTTGTCAAAGGTTAGTGTCTAGACACCAATAGAAGAGGAAGGCTGACCCGCTAAGGGACAGTTCAGAGATTTTACTCTTGTTTCTATTTCCAATCCTATCTTGCCAAACTGAATAATCTCAAGATTGGGGGAGAGAAATGAAAATGAGTTTTTCCTTACAAGTTTAAAACTCTTTCCTTAACTCACAAAAGTGTTTGGTATGGGGATATATTTTGGATAGGATCCTCAAACACTCTATACCCCCACCCCCAAATGCAAGGAAATCTCTTGCCTCCATTAAGCTCATTTGGGATAGACAATCTATCAAGAAGATATTAGAGACTACAAAGGAAATGAGGATAATTACATTCCTCTGTTTGTTTTTCATCCTCATGAAATGATACAGCAGGTTGAATGGCACTAAAGGAAAACAGACTTTTCTTCCTTCCCTCTCTTAGAAAATGGCTACTGTTGCCTCCAATCCTGCCCCATCATTGATTGTCAAAAAAACAAACAAACAAACAAAAAAAAACCCCAAAAAACAAAAAACTAAAAACACAGGGTAGTTTGGAACTGGCAGAAGACTAGATGGTTTAACAAAAGAGACACTAACAAAATTTTTTTTTCTACAATACTATAATTATAAATTTGAAGGCACATCCTTGGCAGAAATGATTACATGCTTATGGAAAAACAAACCACTGAATATCTTGACTATAGTAGATGATTATTGCACAACACTGCCCACTGCTATTCTGGGTACCAAACAATCAATGTTTTAACAATGTTAAGTTAAACATTTAACTGAAAACATAAGGTTGAGACACCTGGTTTTGGCCACAAAAGTCATCTATTCTCAGTGCCATTACAGAAGTTCTTTTAATTGAAGAACAAGAGTTCATGCTTTTGTGCTTTATCTGGTTACTCATAAGCAGATAAATTTTCAGAGGGACTACAGAAACTTAGTGTAAAAATAGCTAATAATTTGGCATGAATCTATACTGTTTATATTTGGTTAAATAGTATTTTTAAATATAGACAATAAACAAAAAATCCAAAGGGAGTGATTCCAGGAATGTTTTTATTCTTATTAAAGTAACCAATAACCAGAAGCCTCACTCAAAGAAAATAACAAAGTAGAGTAAAATAAATATTAAGAAAAATAATTTTAAAGCAAGATTCACAAGTAATGGGAAAAACATTCTCAAAAACATATACTCTTGATTTTAAGCTGTGTTTATAAAAGATATGCACACTTAAATTTTTGGAAACATCCTGTCTACAGTGCTATTTTAAGCATTCTGAACAAAGAATACATCTGAAAAAAGAAAAACGCTTTTAAAAAGTTAAAGGACAGTATAAAATTTTTTGTTCACAAGGCATCAAATTTAACACTCTAAAATGTTGATACTAAACTAGGAAAAATATCATTTCTATTTTCACCACTAACCACCATACTTCTTTAAACTACAACACTAAATATTCTAGCTGTGTTTTAACCTTTGAAATTCAAAAGGCATCTTTGGATAGTCAAGATAAAAGGTGCCCCATAGTTGAATCAGAACCAGCACTGGATATCAAAATATCCTTGTTATCTTCAGGCTGAGGGCATGGGTGCTAAGTGAATACAGAAGAGTGATAAAGGAACAACATATAAATAACTTCAGATATTCAAACATCAAATTCAAATATAAATCCATTTTCCTTCTATATGGTAAATATATGTGTACATGTGTGTATATGAATAGACAGATACATACACACATATACATTTTTAACATTTGTTCTCACTAGTAACTGGTTACTTAAAGCTAGTTACTAACTGAAAGCAATGTTTTTGATCCTGACCCTAGATCAACCTCTCTCTCCTGTGAATACAGCTGCTCTATGAAGCTAATGCGAATTCAGGATTACAAGAGAGACTTGGGGTAGAGAAATCAAAGATGCACTCTCAACAATAGCCAAAACATGGAAAGAGCCTAAGTGTCCATCAACGGACGAATGGATCAAGAAGATGTGGTTTATCTACACGATGGAATACTACGTGGCAATAAGAATGAAACCTGGCCATGTATAGCAACATGGATGGACCTTGAGGGTGTTATGCTGAGCGAAATAAGTCAGGCAGAGAAGGACAAATACCATATGTTTGCACGTATAGGAGGATTAGGAGGAACTTAACGGAGGATTGTGGGGGAGAAGAAGGGGAAAAATAGTTGGGGAGAGGGAGAGAGGCAAACCATGAAAGACTCTTGAATGCTGAGAACAAACTGAGGGCTGATGGGGGTGGGGGAGAGGGGAAGGGGTGATAGACATGGGGGAGGGCATTTGTGGGGTTGAGCACTGGGTATTATATGGAAACCAACTTGACAATAAACCATTAAAAAAAACCCCAAAGATGCTATAGATACTTAAAATAGGATTCTTTCTAAACAACATATTTTCTGTTATGAAAGTAAGAGTTGAAATTAAATTCTTGATTTTTCCCACACCATAGGTTGCTTTTCTCACTATCGTAGGACATGTGGGTCCTTGGTTCCCCTTGGCAAGTGGGAGCCAAAAGGACAACTTAAAAACACACATAATAATTAAAGTAGTAACTGGCTATGTTCAAGTGTTTCAGAGACACAGAAAGAGTAAAGGAGAGAGAGAGAGAGGTGCTTCTTTTTCCAAAAGTCTATTATACATTTGTCATATTAGCTGTTTCTTCTAGAAGAAACAAATTGTACTATAATGGAACACTAGAATTAAAATAAGAAACAAGTATTAAAATTCAAATTGGAAGCATGGAAGATGGCATAGGCATAGGTGTATAAAAGAGACTAGACATACAAACTCATTCATATTTCATTAAAATGGGTTTGCCTTTCTAGATTAACAGCACCTGCATCGATAGTTTCAATTCTCTCTTTAAGATAGTTGAGATAACTGGGTGTTGTATGTAAAGGATGAATCACTGAATTCTACACTTGAAACCAATATTGCACTGTATGTTGCCTAACTGGAATTTAAATAAAAATTTGAAAAGAAAAGAAAAAAATAGTTGAGATAAAAATAAGTTTTTTTTTTTTCCAAATCTGAAAAGATAGCATGGAATAATGTTGTAACTTTTTTGTGTGTGTATGAAAGGATAAGAGAAAAAGGAAGTAGGAGAGGAAGAATCCAATTCTCCACTCCCACCTGATTTTAGACTCTGCCCTAAGAAAAAGATTATTATTTACTTCTGACCTCAAGGGGGGAGAAAAGAAATAACATTTACTGAATACAAATCCTATGTGCTAGGCATTGTTCCAACAGCTTTACACATGGCAATGGGAAGAAATATTAGAAACTTATTTACTTATTTTCATTTCCATAATCTGCATTTGAAACCCATCTTGCAATAAATAAGAAATTTAAATAGTGATACAAGTATCAGAACTCTGACCAGTGTATTAACTCCTAGGCACTCAGAGGGGGGAATTTCTAAATGTGTATGGCACTAAGAACAGCCCCTGAATTTGCGAACCACGCTTACTAGCAAGTGCAAATATTTTAAACTAGAGAAAAGTATAGACTTGACTAAAAGGTATCACAACCTAGGGAAATTCTCATTTCTGTATTACAAATTTATTATATTTTTTGGTAAATGCAGCTTTGCATAAAATTATTTTAAAGTCATTTTGAGAGGTCATCTAAAATACTAAAATATTTTTAAAATCTATTAAATTATATATACCAGCTAAAGTCTTGTATTCTCTCCAAAAATGGACAAATTTAGTGAATCTAGGTAATTTCATATGACCCGTATATGTCAAAGATGGTAGTGTTAATCTTCAAAAAAGTTATCTATAGAAGAGGCTCAAAATTATAAGCTTCTGGACTGAGGCTGATAGACTAAGAACAATTTAGAGTGGAACTCGGCAGAAGTGAATTGAAATCTTGTTCAGAGCTAGGGAGTCACTGAATGAGGAATCTGATCTATATTTTACAACAATGGAAAGATAGGAAGCAAGGGACCCTATGTACCCTTAAGGTCTTTTTGGGCTACAAGATAAAGAAAGGAACAAGATATTGGAAACAGTTGTCAGTTATTTTTATCAATCAATCACCTACACTTAGCTCACCTAAAAGAACAACAATAACAAACCAAACTAGGGCAACTGCAAAGACAAAGATGCAGGGAAAATAGGGAGGAAGAAAGCCTGTAATAAATAAGGCACATCTATTTTTAAAGTTTCTACTGTTCTCCTTCTAAACCCAGATGCTTTATACAGTGTTTTAAAAGCCACTGTTCCTCAACGTGGCAGGGATGAGAGCTCAAGAATGTCATCAAGATCATACTCTCAGATCTTCAAACTTTTAAATTATCCTTTTTCTTGAGCCTTTTCTTTTTGGTCAAATAAAAAAATTATCTATCACTTTAGCAGCAATTCAGCAATCTTCAATTGTAGGGCTTGTAAACCTCACTGGTCTACTTTCTCTATTACTAGTGAAAACAAACAGATTCATTTTAAATAAAGCTAGGTTCAGAGCTAATGCTCTGAAAAAAAAGATATTTTTTGCCGTTAGACAAATGCAATTCAAATAGAATCCCTAACATCAGGGCATGAGACCAATATAAAATCCCTCCACAATATTTTGAAAAGTTAAGGTGACATCACTAATGCTGTGTCAGTGTGTAACAACATCGGCTAGTAGCACTCTCCGTGGCCTGTTACAATGTGGTGTCATCGTCTTCCCTGCAGTCTCCCACCAGAAGTGAATGTTTGTCAGGTTCACTGGTACCAATGCTGTTTAGGGACCGTTTGTCAGATAGTAGTGAATTTATGGAGGCTCTACTGTAATTAACAATCCGGTCCAGCAAACCCAGTTTTGGAGAATTTCTTGAGGTGTCATCTATTCCAACATGAACGCTGATTTCCGAAGGCCTTTTCTGTCCCATGTGGCTTCGAGCATGCAGTTCATAATTCTCATAAGTTGGTTTTCTATAACTGAACACATGCAAAAGGACACTAGTTTGAAATAACCAAATGTGAACTAGACACTTGTTATGTTCAAAAATGAAAATATATTTGCCTGGTATGAAATCTACAAAAGTAGTCCCTGCTAGAAAAGTGGCTCAAAAAATTTGTATAGGGGTCACATGATCAAAATTCTACTTCTCATAGCCAATGTACTATATTTTACCCCAATCAGTGCTTGTGCTTGCTAGGTAAAGAATACATACGATGATAATTACATAGCTAACATTTATTTTTAAGAACAGTCTGGGCCTATCATACAAGAATAAGACCTATCAAGAACTGACTGTGGATGATAAAATGAACATAAAATACAAACATGAGCAAGCCATCATACTTACAGTTTAAGGAAGAGAGAAGAAAGTACTACTGAAACAGATGAAGCAGCCATTGCAGCAGATCCCATCCAGGGCTGCAACACCAAACCAATGGGCATAAAAACTCCTATGAAACAAGTTTGGATTAGTTAGAGCAGTCAGTACTAAACAGATTACTAATGTGTTTCTAGTACATATATACAAATCATTTCCTTGTTTGACATTTATTTAGCACTTTATCCTCCTGTTGGTGGAGATTTATGTCACTGCCAATTTTTCACTAATAGGGTATTGCTGTGAACGTTCTTGTACATGTCTTCCTGTGCATGTGCTTGAGAATTTCTCTAAGGTATACACCTAGATGTGAAACTGCTGGACTGTAACATGGGCACATCCTCAACTTTAGGTGGATATTCCTCAGTTGTTCTCCAAAGTGGCTGTACCAGGTCACAATCCCACCAGTCATGTATGAGTTTATGTTCTACAAACTCATTCACACTTGTTTTTTTGTTTGTTTCTTTTTGTTTATTTGTTTGAAGTAGACTCCACACCCATCATGAAGCCCAATGCAGGGATTGAACTCACGACCCTGAGATCAAGATAGAGCTGAGATCAAGAGTTGGACACTTAACCAACTGAGTCACTCAGGTGCCCCTCCACACCTGGTTTGGACAGACATTTTAACATTTGCTTATATGGTAGGGATAAGATAGACATATTGTACTTTTAACTTTTTATGTGCTTATCTATATTTTTCAAAAGTGATCACATATTACTTGCATAATTATTTAAAAATCATTTGCTTCATGAATTAATCTCTATGAACTTTTTGTTCTTTTACTTTTTGTTCTCCCAGCATTTGTGTGTCCCGTTTATAAACAGCTTTATAATTTTTCTTCCATAATTTCATGTCCTTCTTTGGCTCTCAAACCAAAGAGAACAAGAAGAAAGTGTTAACTATTTCTCTTCTGTTATTACTAACTCCTACCAAGTCCCTAAGTATATGACATTATCAAGTGTTTACTTAAAAATTCTAAATTGCTTTTCCTTGGTCATATTCCTTTATTCAATCTCTGTCTCTGTTTCTGTCTCTGTCTCTCTCTCTCTCCTGGTACCCAAACATAAAAAACCAAACATGCTGGATATTAGAATGTTAAGTGAGGAGCAAAAAATTCTCTGTATGCTATAATTATACCTATGTAACAAGACCCAAAACTGATGCAAAGTAAAAAAGACTTTGCATCACTAGAAAGAAATACACTAAAATGCTAACGGTAATAGTGTTTGGGTAGTGAGATTAAATTTGTTCTCCAGCAAAAAAATAAGTAACTAAATACAGTATAAGTATAAATATGAATAAATCTAAATGTGAGAGAGCATATGGAGAAAGAGATGAAGCAATGTAGTAATGTAGTAGCTGGTGAATGTAATGAAGACTATACAGTTTTACATTGTATCTTTTCTCCTTCTTATATATAGCTTTGACATTTTTTTCAAAAAAAAATTTTTTAAATTTTTTTTTATTTCTAAGAGAGAGAGAGAGAGAGACAGCGTGAGCAGGGGAGGGTCAGAGAGAGAGGGAGACACAGACTCTGAAACAGGCTCCAGGCTCTGAGCTGGCAGCACAGAGCCTGACGCGGGGCTCGAATCCACAAACCACGAGATCATGACCTAAGTGAAAGTCGGACGCTTAACCGACTAAGCTACCCAGGCGCCCCTTTTCAAAAAAAATTTAATGATTATTTATTTAGAGAGTGAGTGAACGTGTGTGAGTGGGGGGAGAGAGAGAGAGAGAGAGAGAGAGAGAGAGAGACTGAGAATATCCCAAGCAGGCTCCATGCTGTCAGCACAGAGCCCAACATGAGGCTCAATCTGACATACTGTGAGATCATGACCTGAGCAGAAATCAAGAGTCAGACACTTACCTGACTGAGCCACCTAAGCACCCCTTTGAAAATTTTCAAAATATAAAGTTGGAGAGGAAAATAAAGTAAATTAAAATAAATCTGTTAGAATGCTTTTCCATTTTAGGCTATAATGAACATTGCTCAAAATCATTATTGATGTTAATATTAACTCTCACTATACCAGCAGGCTATATACAAAAATTGAGCTCAACACTGGGTATTGTATGTAAGTGATGAATCACTGAATTCTACTCCTGAAACCGATACTGCAGTGTATGTTAACTAAATTTTAAATTTTAATTTTAAATAAAATTTTAAATAAAATTTTGAATTGAATTTTAAATAAAAGTTTGAAAAGAAAAAAAAAACTGAGCTCAAAACTAATAAGATTAAAACTTCCAATATGATAGGCCTCTAATGACTTCAGAGGAAAAAAACAATACTAGTTAACAGTCACATACCAGCTGCTATGGGAATTCCAACTAGATTATAAATTAGAGCGAAAACAAAATTTATCCGAATCCTCTTGACTGTCTTCCTTGATAAGTCAATACTTGCCACTACATCCAGAAGATCATTCTGAGAACAGAAATATTTGTGATATTAGTGAGAGACTAACTTAACTAGTACTTTTGTATTTGATACTGTGCTTTTGCAGATGATATATACCTTAGGGTAGGTAATAAATCTTAAATATATAACTTAACTATAAATCTTAAACATTGTTAAAAATTTTAGTCTGCCTTAGAAAATTTTTTCAGGACTTTTTCTCAGGGGTCTAGAAAGCACTTTTTGTGTTGTATGATGGTATGTGCATGACATCCCTTAAAATAATCTCAGCAGGTGTTTGTTGAAGATAATTGTATTATAATTCCCCAATCTTATTCTTTACTTTAGAAGCTTGTCATTCTCATTTGCTTTGCTGGATTGAGAAAGTCTGAAAGTAATTAGTATAACTTCTCATACTCCCATCTTGAATTCTCCGTCTCAAAGGCTGGGAGCACAGGAATTATAAAGTTCTATTTGATATACTTAATGACGCTATTCCTCACCAGGCAGAGCAGTATCACAGACCTTGACATTCAGGCCACAGGACTTACCCTTATCAAAACCACATCAGCTGCTTCAATGGCTACATCTGTACCTGTGCCAATGGCAATTCCAACATTAGCCATTGCCAGAGCTGGAGAGTCATTGATTCCATCTCCTACCATTGCAACCCGTTTCCCCTCCTCCTGAAGCTGCTTCACCTTAGCAACCTTATGAGAAGGGAGAACTTCAGCAAACACCTTAGTAATGCCAACCTACATGAGGGAAAAAAAAAAACTCAATTCATTTCAAGAAATATTACTAGTACCTGAAATAGAATGCAGCAATAGTTAGCCATCAGTTTCTACCCACCAGATGTCCAAAATTTCAAAAATTGATAATATCTAGTGATAGTAAGGATATAGAGAAATTAGCTCTCATACGCTCTTGGTGGGCATGTAAACTGTTACCTTTTTGGAGGGCATTTGGCAGCATCTATCAAAGTGCACACATCATTGGATTCAGCAATTCCACTTCTAGCTATATTCTGGATATACTTATACATGTATAAAAAGATTTATGTTTGACTTCCAGGGAAGATGGCAAAGTGGGGGGATCCTGGCCTAACCTCATCCCATAGATGCAACCTGGGTCATCCACACTGATGTGGGTGGCCCAGAGAATAGACTGGCAGAACAGACTGTATAGAGAAAGGGCCATGTTGAGGAAGGTATGGAGGTGGGGTGGAGATACAGTCCAGAGCCAGGTGGACTCATAGGACAGTCTATGGGAGGGAGTGGTGCAGTGAGTCTGGAGAGGAGAGAGAGGAGCAGCCCCCTACATCAGGTGTCCAGGGCATAGGGGCCTGTACAGGGAAGGCAGGTCCTCATAGAGTTTGGAGAATCAGAGGGCCAGGCTTTGTGAGTTCTTATCAGTATCTTTCAGTGGGACCAAAAACCTGGAACTTTAAAAATCAGCTGGTTCAGCTCTGAGAGAGCCAGAGGGCAAGAGGAAACTGAGTCTTCCCACTTAAAGGGATAGCACAACAAACAGCCCCACTGAGATACAGCATAGAAGCAGCAGTTTGAAAAATGCCTGGGATACATAGGAAGGAGATTTGTGTGCTGTAAGAGGCAGGGATCTTTGTGAGACTTCTCCAAGAACAAAAGGACTGGCAGGCGGCATTTCCCTCTCCTGCCCCCAGCCTAGATATACAAATACCTGTGGTAACCAGCACAGTGCCAACTCTCTACATGTAGCTTGCTAACAGTGTGCCCTGCCACCATGCCCTTCTGCAGATCCACCCCCTCCAACCCAGCCAGATGCAGCAGTTTTCCCTGGCGGCTACAGGTCCCTTCCTATAGCAGACCAGCAAAGACCATGCTGGAACCCAGGCCCTGCCCCTGCTTTCTCCTGCAGACCTGCCCCCTCCAATATGCCGTTAGCTGGAGCCCATCCAAAGCTGTGCCACAAGCCTGGCAGTGTGCAGGCAGCCCCAAGAGGGGTCAGAACCACTACAAAGTGACTCCAGCCCCAGGCAGAGAGGAAGATAACTACACACACCAGTTCAACTCATAGGATCAGGTGGCAGGTTCTGCTTACCAAAGAAAGTTTCTCAAGGCACAACACAGGGAGAGAGCCTTGTAGTTCAGAGCTAGTGCAACTCTAGCAAACACCTGGTCTGACTCAACTCATTCCCAAGGTGGCCCCAGACTGGCCTACTAAGACTACAAGAACCAAACTTTGTCCACCAATAGGCAAAGAAAGCCACTACAGACAAGTGAACTGAAGGCAAATGTGGCTCAGCCAAAATAATCCAGTGTACACATCACACACAAGAGACACCCCTGAAGTGCCAGGTTCTAGTGCACAGGGGACGCTGCACTGAAGGCCACTACTTTCAAGAGCAGGTGACATGGCTGACTTTCCTTGACACAGAGAAACAGACACAGAGATTTGGACAAAATGAGGGGACAGAGGAATACGTCACAAATGAAAGAACAGGACAAAATCGCAGGAAGAGACCTAAATGAAACAAAAATAAGTGATATGTCTGATAGATAATTTAAAGTAATGGTCATAAGGATACTCACAGCACTTGAGAAAACAGTAGAGACTTCAGTGTGACTGTCAACAAAGAGATAGGAAACATAAAAAAAAGAAGCAAAAGGAGATGGATAACTCAATAACTGAAATTAAAAATATACTAGAGGGGCATGTGGGTGGCTCAGTCAGTTAAGTGTCTGACTCAGTTTCGGCCATGATCTCAGTTTTGTGAGTTCAAGCCCCACATCAGGCTCCACACTGCCAGTGCCAGCGCAGAGCCTGCTTGGGATTCTCTGTTTCCCTCTCTCTCTCTGCCCCTCCCCTATTCATGCTGTCTCTGTCTCTCTCAAAATAAATAGGTAAATAAATAAATATTTTTTACAAGTTTAAAAAATATACTAGAGAGAATAAACAGGAGAGTAGAGGAAGCAGAACAACAGATCAATGACCTGGAGGAGAGAGTAATGGAAAGCAATCAAGGTGAACAGGAGAAAGAAAAAAATAATAAAAAATGAAGATACACTAAAGGAACATAGCAACACCATCAAAAGTAATAACATTCACATTATAGGGATCCCAGAAGGAGAAGAAAAAAAATAGGGCAGAAAATTTATCTGAAGAAATAATAGCTGAAAACATCCCTAATCTGGGGAAGGAAACAAAAATCCAGATCCGGGAGGCACAAAGAACCCCCAACAAAACTGACCTAAGAAGGCCCACAACAAGACAGAGTATTTAAAATGGTAAAAGGAGGGGTGCCTGGGTGGCTTAGTTGGTTAAGCGTCCGACTTTCACTTAGGTCATGATCTCGCGGTTTGTGGGTTCGAGCCCCGCGTCGGGCTCTGTGCTGACTGCCAGCTCGGTGCCTGGAGCCTGTTTCAGTCTGTGACTCCTTCTCTCTCTGACCCTCCCCTGCTCACGCTGTCTCTCTCTCTCTCCTAGAAATAAATAAAAAACATTAAAAAAAAATGGTAAAAGGAGGTGATAAAGGGAAAAGTTTAAAAGCAGTAAGAGAAAACAGCTACATGCAAGGGAAACCACATAAGGCTATCAGCAGATTTTTCAGAAGAAACTTTGCAGGCCAGAAGGGACTGGCATGATACACTCAAACAGCTAAAGGAAAAAAACCCTGAAATGAAGAATACTCTTTCCAGCAAGGCTATTATTCAGAATGGAAGGAGAAATAGGGTTCCCCCAGACAAAAAGAAGTTAAAGGAATGCATCACCACTAACCCAGCCTTAAAAGAAATCTTAGAGTGGACTCATTGAGTGAAAAGGAAAAACAGTAAGTAGGAGTAAGAAAAGTAGGAAGCACAAAAGCAGCAAAATTAAGTATATCTACAAAAATTTGTCAACGGATTCACAAAATAAAAGGATGTAAAGCAAGGCACCATATACCTAAAAAATAGGGGAGAGGAGTAAAAACTGGCTTCAAACTTAAGCAACCATCAGTTTAATATAGACTGATATATGCATATAATATATAAACCTAACGGTAATCACAAATCAAAAATCAGTAATAGATATGCAAAAACTAGAAAGAAAGGAATCCAAGTACATCACTAAAACAAGCCAGCGAACCATAACAGAAGAGAGCAAGAAAAGAAAGAGAGAAGAACTACAAAAAACCCCCATAAAACAAGTAACAAAATGGCAACGAGTATATACCTATCAATATTTACTTTGAGTGTAAATGGGCTAACCGTTTCAATCAAGACACTGGGTGAAAAGATAAAAAAGCAAGACCCATATATGTGCTACAAGACTCATTTCAGACCTAAAGACACATGCAGACTGAAAGTGAAGGTATGGAAAAACATTTATCATACAAAAGGAAATGAAAACAAAGTCAGGGTAGCAATACTTGTATAGACAAAATAGACTTTAAGGATTGTAACAAGAGACAAAGAAGAACACTATATAATCATAAAAGGAACAACCCAACAGGATATAAAAATTGTAACTATCCATGCACCCAACATGAGACCACCAAAATACATAAAGCAACTAATAAGAAACGTGAAGGAAGTAATTAATAGTAATATTAGTAAGGGGACTTGACCATACTACTTCTATCAATGGATAGATCATCCAAATTGAAAATCAACAAGGAAACAGTGGCTTTTATGGACACATTGGACCAGATCTAACAGATATAGTTAGAATATTCCAACCTGAAACAGCAAAATACACATTCTTGTTACGTGTACATGGAACTTTCTCCAGAATAGATCACATGTTTAGCCACAAAACAAATTTCAACAAATCCGAAAGGACTGAAGTCATACCATCTATCTGTTCCAACCACAATGCTATGAAACTAGAAGTCAATCACAAGAAAAAACCTGGAAAGACCACAAATACATGAAGGTTAAATAACATGCTACTAAACAATGAATGGATCAATCCTGAAATCAAAGAGGAAATCAAAACATACATAGAGACAAATGAAAATGAAAACAAAATGGCCCAAAATCTTTGGGATGCAGCAAAAGCTGTTTTAAGAGGGAAGTTTACACCAAAACAGATCTACCACAAGAAGCAAGAAAAACCTCAAATAAGTAATCAAACCTTACACAAAAAGGAGCTAGAAAAAGAACAAACAAAATCCAAAACCAGTAAAAAGGAATTACATATAATAATGTTAGAGCAGAAATAAGTGAAATACAAACTAAAAGCAATCAATGAAACCAGGAGCCAGCACTTTGAAGAGATCAAGAAAAAATGGGGCTCCTGGGTGGCTTAGTCGGTTAAGTGACCAACTTCGGCTCAGGTCATGATCTCGTGTTTCGTGGGTTCGAGCCCTGCGTCAGGCTCTGTGCTGACAGCTAGCTCAGAGCCTGGAGCCTGTTTCAGATTCTATATCTCCCTCTCTCTCTGACCCTCCCCTGCTCGCGCTGTCTGTCTGTCTGTCTCTCTCTCAGAAATAAATAAAACATTAAGAAAAATTGATAAACATTTAGCCAGACTCATCCAAAAGAAAAAATATATGTATATGTGTGTGTATATATAAATATATATATGACTCGAGGAACTTGGCTTGGTCCGTCAGAAGAGCATGTGACTCTTGATTTCGGGACTGTGAGTTGGAGCTCCATGTTGGGAGTAGAGACTGCATACATACCTACATACATACATAAACTGTAAAAAAAAAAAGATTAAATAATAGAATACTTTTAAGAATAGTGATCAATTAATCAAAATCAGAAACAAAAGACGGGAAATAACA